CAGAAGGGCTGTTTGGGGGGTCATGAGGTCTGGGGGAATTTTGAGGGTGGCGGGATTGTCACCGGGGGTGACAAGGGGGCTTGTGCGGGGGTTCCGGGGGTCTCCATAGGCTTTAGAAAGGATTCAGAGGTGACAGGGATGACTTGGAGGGGATGCCGAGGAGCTGAGGATGCCGTGGGATGCTCCGAGGAGTCTCATGGAATTCTGGAAAGGAGCTGGAGTGGCCCTGGCTGCATCCCGGGATTTTTGAGGAGCCAGCAGCTCCCGTGTGCCCACCCAGGTTCTCCCACATGATCCAAGACAAGGCGCTCCGCACATCCTGGGCACGGAAAATGAAGGAGAGGCAGGAGAAGAAGCTGGTCCAGGATCTGGCACGGCAGCTGGAGGAAGCAAAGCAGAGGGAGAAGGAGGTAACGGGATTTGGGAGCCGGAGAATTCCAGTCTTTCCCAAGTGCTATCCCATGTCTCTGTGCTCTTCCCGGGCATCAGAGCTGTGGCAGAGCCCAGGAAAAGGGCAGCTGGGATGGAGAATTCCCTGTCCTGGTGCCAACTCCAGTCACTGGTGGTCACATGCTCCGAGTCACTGACTCGGAATAAAATCCCTGGGTCAATTCCAGCCTCACCCGGGGTGGAAAAGCTGCTGGAATGACAGATTTCACACTTGGGTGGGCATTGGTGCTGGTCTGGGTTTAATCCCAGAGGAAGGGATCTGCAGGGAATGTTCTGGTGCTGCTCCCACAGGAAAAGAAGCGGCGGCGGGAGGAAAACCTGAAGCGGCGCCTGGAAAACGAGCGGAAAGCCGAGATTGTCCAAGTGGTGAGTCCCCTCTGCCGGCTGGGAACAGCACTGGGAACACCCCACAGCCTCCAGCCCCACATGGATCAGCATCTGATTTGCTTCAGTTCCTCTCCCTGTCTCCATCCTTGGAGGATACTGGGAGGACTGGGAGATTCCCAGCAAAGCCAGGCACGCTGGAAGTGTGTTCCAGGCTTGGGAACCGCAGAACTGAGGGATAATGGGGTGGGTGGAGCAAGGAGAATGCAGCCCTGATGGGGATCCATGTGGGAAAATCATGGCTTTTCCATTGGGAAGAGACCTGGGAGCTCAGGGTGGGTGAGGATGGGGTTAGTTTTGGGATAAATCCCTGCCAAGATCCTGAATCCTTGGTGGTGAGAGGCTGGGAGCCACCCATGCCCATCCTGCCTCATTCTGAAACTCTGTTCCATTCCTGGAAATGCTCCAGGAATTGCTCTTGCAGCTTCCTGCACTAGTGGAAGTTGTCCCTGCCCATGGCCAGGGGTGGAACTGGATCGTCCTTAAGGTCGCTTCCAACCCAAACCATTCCAGGATCCTATGATTCCATGAAATCAATCCCCTCTCTTTTTCCCATTTCCCAGATCCGGAACCCCCTGAAGCTCAAGAGGGCCAAGAAGAAGCAGCTGAGGCGGGTGGAAAAGCGGGATACGCTGGCCCTGCTCCAGAAGACGCCCGTGAGGCGCAGCACGGCCACAGAATGAGGCGGGAATCGGGATACTGCCGCGCCCTGGCCGTGCAGCCCGGATTCCTATGGATCCTGCTCCTTTCCAGGGGTTTTTCCTCAGCTTGCCAGGCAGGAATCGCTGCCAGGACCCTCAGTGTTGGACAAACAGCAGGACAGAGCTGAGGGGGTGGATTCCACAGGAACCAGCTGCTGGATCCCTCAATCCCTGTGGAATCAGGGCGTGGCCAGTGCCAGAGGCTGGAACAGAACTTTGCTCTCCCAAATTTACCTTTTCTTTATAAAAATGAATAGGAACTGAGACAGATTCACCTCTGGTGGTTCTGGGGACTGGTGGCTCCAGCTGGGGCCTTCCCTAAGGCATTCCTAGGATTGGAGTGTGCCACGGCCCCTCTTTCCTTGCAGTTCCCCTTTCTCCAAAGAGGGAATTCCTGTCGGGAATGAGTCCTGGAACTTGTCAGCAAGGAAGGGGACACGGTGTCACACACCCTCCTGTGGGGCGCAACGCCGGGAAGTTGGTGGGGGCTGGAAGTGGGAAATCCACGTGGATTTCTTAATGTTACTGGTTTTTCGTGGTGTGTGAACACCCCTTTCTGCATTCCTGGGGAAGGATGTGGCTGTGAGCTGGGATGGGGGGGACAGAGGGGTGCACTGGGTGGAAAATGGCACTGCAGGAATCGGTGTGAAGCCCTGGGATGGGAATGTGGAGCTCTGGAGCTTCAACCTGGGGTGACAATTTGGGAGGGCCCCTCAGACTTGGGATGGGGTGTCCCATCCATGTCCAGAATGGGGGCGTGCCAAGGGAAAGTGGGGGCTGGCAGGAATTCCCGGTGCAGCCGGTGCCAGCCGGGCACGGGGTCACGGGGCAGGAGGGCTCTGCCCTCGCCATTCCCGGGTTAATGATTTCCAAGGAATCCTCTCCCTCTGCAGAGCCCACGGCCCAGGCTTTACCCGGCGGGGTAAGAGGAGAAGCTCGGAGGCCGATTTCCTGGTGGGACGGATGTGGGAGAGCCGCGTGTCTCCTCCCAGGGCTGGACTGGGGCCAGCATCCCTGTTGCCGGCCTGCCGAGCTGCGCCCAGAGGGAGCGGGGAGCAGCCGGGATTG